AATGCCGATGTAACTCCACATCCACTACCTTCCAGAAAGAAATTAAAAGATTACGTTAAAGCCTGCACTTGGAAATCTGTAGCCACACACACAGGTTTACACACACACACAGCGTCATTCTGTTCTAATGACTCTAACAACATTTTAAATGCTACAGTAACAAAGCCTCCAAGCCCTCTAATATGCAACTCCCACTTTTTCCTAGAGCTTCTGCATGGGTGCATCTCTGCCAGGATCAGCCCTAAGACAAGAGATAAAAACATTTTCTTTGCAAAATTAAATATGCAACAGTGGCATGAGTTTGCCTGCACAAAACATCTGACAAGCAAACATCTTGATTCATCCTCAGACCAAGATCCCAAACAATGTGTCTGTGAAATGTCCCGGTGTAATCAGTAGGACTCTGAGCATGTGCAAGGGTACCTGCTATCATATCTCAACACAGGGTTGTAGACTAACCCCGTCTACTTGTTTTGGAAAGTCCTGGAAGCATGCACTATTACAGCATTTACTTACTCTTCCAAAACATTCTTCACTCACTCACACGAGATATCTTATATTAAACTCTACTCCACAGAGTGAAAAGCTGAGATAATGCAATTTCCTGGGAAACTCTATTTGGTAAAGTACAGAGGGAAAAAAATCAAAACCCTGGAGAAAAAGAGAGAGTCTGATTTATTCATTTGTTTTTTTATATCTAAAACTTGTAAGATTTCACTTGCAGGATGCTCTGGGAGTTGATAAACATTGAAATGCCTATTAATGCTTTTAGTTATTAAGTTAAAAACGGCAATCCACAAATACCTGACTTAGTAAGATGGTAGGGTGACTCACTCGTTTATATTGTATAATATCTAGATTTGCTGCACATCTGAACACTCTGCAGATCAAGGTGTTCAGTACTGAAAGCATACTATAGCTTTGTGAAATAGCTCCAAAAATCTGTATTGCACATTAACTTGACTAGCACAAGTACTAGAAATGTTTTTCCCCCAATGCTTTAATAATGTCTGGGGCTGAAGTAAAAATGTGATTGTTGAAATAAAGCCACAGGTTGTCATTACTTCTTCACTAAATCTGTGTACCAGCAAGTCTGATCACTCACCGTTTCAGCACCAAGTGTCTGCAAGCCAGTGTAGGTTCTGTCCAACTGGGCAAAAACAATCAGATGAGTAAACACATTAACATGTTATAAGCATTTCAACTGAAATGTATAAATAAACAAAAACGATGCTAACATAGCTGGAGAGGATATGTCACATTTTCTAAAGCTAAAGTAGTATTTTCTTTGTACAGTTGTCTGAGCAAGACTACATAGTTTGTGCAGTATTAGGGAACTAAGATTTGAGGGAGGGTGGAAATTGGTGTTTTGCAAGGAATTTAACTGTATTTATATTTTACAATTAAAGCAAAGAATATAAAAGTGTCCCTTTTTAACCTCTGTATGAATCTAAATAAATATCAGTAACATGAAAGATACATTCATGAGATCTTTAAATCTTCTTACTGCTTATTCCAGTCTTAGCTGAATGGCTGGACACACTGGATATCAGTAGATACAAGCTAGAAAAGTCACAGATTTCATGGAAAAACAGGTAACTGAGGAACCCAGACCCATGGATGATCTGAGCCTTGCAAACATTACCCAAACTCCTGAGAGAAGATTCAGACCCTGCTTACGTTAAGGAAACTCGCTATGATGCAAACTCCTAACACAGACATACCCAACTGGTACAAAGCACTGTCTAAACTGTCTTTCAAACTTGCCAACCTTTCTCCAGAGCAACATCACCTCTACTAGAGCTGGATGCAAAATGGTTCTTTTTCCACAAGAAAAATGTTGATTCCCCACCCTAAACTTAGGGGAAAAAAGAAAAAAAAAAAAAAGCAAGCCAAAACCCTGGGCGGAATTTGTAGTGCAGGTGTTACATGGTCCCCTTTTCCTCTGTAGGCTGGGCTCCCTTGATTCAGCTACATACACCATAATGCAACATGCTGTCTCCCCCAAGGTTAAGGGAGGCAGTATATCATGGCAGTCATTTGGCACCTGTCCATTACAAGAGATGAGACCAGACAAGAATCCTACCCATACAGGAGACTGTGCGCCTCAGTCTCCCTAAGTACAAGTCCTATGAGATACAGTGGCATTATTTCGGACTCGGATTGCTTCAGGTTTCCTACATTTCACAATGGATAATTATGAAGCAGCCCTAACAATTACATTTTGGTTTGCACCGAGATACTTACACAAGTGAGAAATTTGTTAAAGCAAACATGGCTCAAATCAAGCTAATAGCAACTCAGCTGTAAGAAAAGCTAAGCACGGTAAAAAACAATGCAAGCAAATGAATGACAGGAGTATTGGACGCAACCGTGTAGTGTTCAGAAATACTGCACACCTGCAATTCCCACTGTGCTCAATAGAATCAAGATGCTGCTCAGAGTCCCAGGAAAAGTCAAGCCATAGAGGATAGGTGGGGAAATCTGAGCCTTCCCTCTTTGTGCCCCCCTCCTGTAACACACGGTATGTAGCCTAGGTCTTAGACTGAAGATGCCAGGTAGCCATAGACAACGCAGGAAGAAGAGAACAGATATATCAATCACTCTTTAGTGATTACATAAAGGCACTTACTCTAGGACCCTGTCATGTTAAAATAAAGAGAAGAGGAGATAAAGAAAAAAAATCCCAGAAAACAAATAAAAGCATTTGGGCAGAGTAATTCCATCTGCTGAGAAACTGGATGTCTTCGCTCAAAATTCACTTCTTATGTAGCTGATTATCATATACTTTGTTGCATTTTCTGTCTTAATCTGCTGATCCATTCTTTGTGTCCTCCATTCCTACTTGCAAGGGCAGTTGTACACAAACACACTAGAAGCAGGGAGACAGACATAAGCATAGCACATTCTACAGGTTACACAAGTGAAGCTATTATACTTGGGTCTCTCCCAACTCTTTTGTTAAAATACCTTCAGATTGTGTATGATGTCGATCCTCTTGTTCTGGCTGTCCTTGAAATGTATCTGAACCCTCACAGGAAATTCTCCCCAGCCACGTCGCGTCAAGTGGAATGGAGGCTCTCTGGAAATAAATGCAGATTAACATTTCAGATACCCTATGTTGGTTACATTCACCTCTTCCTTAAAACAAAACAAAACAAAAAAAAACGCTTTTCCCATTGATTGCTAAATTGTCCTAAATCCCACAGTCCACCTCACATAGAACACTAGGTCTGGCAGTATGAGAAGGAAAAAAATTATTCCCTCCCTTTGATAGACACCTGAGGTAAAAAAAAAAGGGGGGCTTCATGAAGCCAAGTGGTCAATACCGGTAAAAAAAAAAATAATAAAAAAAAAAAAAAATCCCTTTCCACACTGAGTTTCCAAGGCAGAATTTTCAGTCTCCCTCCCCTATAACACATAGTTAACAAAGGAAAAAAAAAGAAAAACACAAGGTTTTTAGAAGGCCGACACCCACAATTTACAATGGAAGATAGTGAAGTAGCACTTCATTGTTGCTAATGTTATTTCCTAAATCCTGGAAAAGGCAGGTAAATGTATCTCTATTTAAAATGTGACTCTTTCATTTTTATTTGCTATTACTGTCTTATCATATATTACTATAAAACTTGCTTAAAATATACTTAAAACCAATAGTTCACTGTGAAACAAGGTACACGAAGCACTGAGGGTACTATCAGTCCAAATGGCCATGTAAATAAAAATGGCTGAGATTTGGCTAGAAAGAAAAAAACTAAACTAAAGAGGTCAAACCAGGAAATACACAGCATTATTAACAGATACTGAAAATAAGGAAAGGCACAGCTAGCAAAAGAGAATGGACAGTTGTAGAGTAGTCTAAGAGTTGTGCAATATAAGAGCACAGTACTCTCCTTTATGATACCACTGTACCTGGATACTCCCTGACCCTTATAATACCTGAAAGAACATGGCTGCCTCTGAGAAATTTTCCCTACCATATTATCTTTCTGTGACTGAAATTTGTAATCCAAATCTTAAACTTGGCAAAGCTCAACAGCTGAAGCCCTAAATGAGACATCTGGCAACTCTCTCCCCTAGCAGATAGATTTGAGTTAGACTGTACAGAGATTTGGAGCTGCCATCAGCATGATGATGATGCACAATGCCACCTCTTTTTTCATCCAATCCAGGTCCTGCAGTCTCAGTCTTTATTTAGTGTCTGGCTACAGATGGGGATTGGATATAGTTGAAGCACTTGAAGCTGAATCCAGACAAGGCAGAAGTGGTGGTGGTCGTTGGCAGATTTCATTACCTGGGTGCAATTCAAGCTGCTATTTTTTGACCCACATGGCTACAAACTGGGCCCTACAAATCTAAGGAACTGCCTTTTCCTACATGTTCCATTACACTCTGTAAGGTCAGCCAAGAGCAACCTCTTCCAAGTAACGTCTGTATGTATAGGCAGAGGGAGAAAAAATTATTTAGGGTAGGAGGGCGGGGGGGGGGCTGAGCTCGTGCATCCCCCCCTAACCCGGAGCTCGTGCCTCCCCCCCTAACCATCACGTAAGTTTATGGGGGAAGGGGCGGGGGGGAGGAAAGGGCCATGGGAGGGAGAGCAGACTGAGGCCCCAGCAGTGAGGGAGGGAGCAGGGCACAGGCAGGAGCTGGAGTGAGTGGGGCCCCAGCCCGGCTGGGTAGTGGGACAAGTGGAGACCTGGGGGGCACATGCTCCCCCAACCTGTGGGAGAGGTGGAGGCAGCTGCAACTGCATGCTGGCCTTTGCTCCCTGCTTTAGCTGTCCCGGGAGCAGCACAACACCACATGCCTGCCACCACTAGGCGGCGGGACACGTGTAGAGCTGTGCAGCTCTCGGGGCAGCAGGGCTCAAAGCCCAGTATGCAGCTGCAGTTACCCCCGCCTCATGCAGAGATCGGGGCACATGGCCTTCACTTGTCCCACCCCCCAGCCCAGCCGGGGCCCCACTCACTCCAACCCCTGTTCTTGCCTGTGCCCCGCTCCTTCCCTCATCACAAGGGCCTCGGTCTGCTCCCCCCATGGCAGTAAGGGAGGGACGGAGCAGGGGAAGGTGCTGTATAGCTGGGGCAGGGTGTAGGACGGAGCTGCGAGCAGCTCATCCTAGGGACATGGGGGGGATTGGCTCCTGCCACTGCATGCATCCCAAGAGGGCACGGGAGACATGTGCCCCAGATCTGAGCGTATGGTGGGGCAGGCTGCCACTGCAGGCTGGGGCCAGGCAGCAACAGTGCTTGGAGGGGACTTGGGGGATTACAGCAAACCTTGGGGTGGCTGCAGCCCCACCACCTATATTCCCCCCTCCCAGCACCGCCACCACCTGCCCCAGCCCCCTCAGTGAGAAGAGCCCAATGCTGCCCCCAGCTTCAGTCCGCAGAGGCAGCCTGGCCTACCCCGCGTGCACATCCGGGGGCACACCCCCCATGCCCTCCCGGGATGCACACAGCAGCAGGAGCTGTGCCCCCCCCCAGATGAGCCGTTCGTGGTTCTGCCCTGTGCCAGCTGTGCAGCACTTGGCCCTGCCCCAGCCCCACTCCCTTCCTCACTGCTGCATGCACGCCCCTCCCTACTCCTGTTGCAGCTGCCCAGAGCCCACAGCCCTGTGTGTGGGGGGGCGCTAAGCCCCATTAGCCCCAGCCTTCCACCACCTATGTCTGCACGCCAAATTTCTTTTGTGAAAACATGTAGGAAGGTCGTTCTCAGCAGTCATTCCTCAGTTCTGGAACTTCTTCCCCCCCCCCTCCCCCAGCCTTGCAGTTCATCAGCACCCAAACCTAGACACTTCTGAAAGTGGTGTAAGACCATTTTATTTACTGCATTATCTGGGGAGCTTTCATACTATTTTATTTTAATATATTTAGTCCATTTTTATAATTAATCAAAAATGGCAGCTTACAATAAAAACAGATTTAATTATAAAAATCGAATAAATATATTAAAATAAAATAGTATGAAAGCTCCCCAGATAATGCACCCAAATTTACCCCTATCTACTGACAGCATGTCTAAATAAAATGGTTTGGAAAGGCTGCTGCATTTATCAGTGTTTCTGCAGTGTCAAGATAGCCAGGGTGACATGGAATTCATTCCCCAAAGCAAAGTAAATAGTTAAACCCAGGAACAGACATCAGTGTGAAGAGACATTTGACAGACAAAGCTCCTTCCTCAAACACACACAGCTTTAAACCAGAGGTGTTAAGCTCATCTGGTCCCGCATGCCAGATGAGAGGTACAGAGCCCATTCATGGGCCAGATCAGGCCCAGAGATCACCCCCTGCCCACATGCCTGATCCAGCACTGGCAGCACTCACCCAGGCTGATCCGGGACGCTGGCCTGAGTGGGTATTATACATCCTGGACACTGTGCAGGGGGATGGTCCAGCACATCAAGAAGTGTAGCATAAATGGATAGATTATGGGGCTCCACAGGCTGCATACAGCCTGTGGGGGAGATATTTAATACCCCTGCTTTATATAAACAGGAATTTTAAAAGATACTGGTAAACTGACTTTCTAGGTGACACTATTTTCACATTGGACTAGGTGGAAGAGAATGCCTATTTAAAATAACAGAAGTGTAACAGGCAGAAAGACAAACAAGGTAGTAAATATAGCAGATACAGCAAGCTGTATCGCTAATATGAAACACAGTATTTAAAAAATTTCCCCACCAGGAAAATCTCTCTAAGCAAGCTGGTGTTTCTGGCCAGGTAATATTTAGCATGTGCTGAAAATACCTTGAAAATTAGCTACAATTAAGCCAAATCAGATGTTAAGCAAGATTCCCAGAGAGATCCCATAAAAAGGAGCTAACTTTCTGACAATCTCAGTATTTCAAAGCTTGATAAGCTCAAACTCTCAAGTGATTCTTTTTTACCTGACTTCCACCAGATCATTGGGTTTATAACTGGGATGAAGGAAGAACCAAACTTTCTTGACAAAATGATTTATGCTGGGTTCTCTCCGAGAGCCTCTTACATACACCATCCATTTATGGGTTGACTGATCGTTCTCCTCTCTCTTGTCAGGAGGAATGTACCTGGCAGAAAGCAAAATAAATAAATAAATAAATAAAAATTAAACATACAGAAGATTTTGCTCTTTTCAGTCCATTTTGGAAAGGTATGTTGAGTTACTGGAACTGTATGTCTAATCTGTTGTACATTTTGGGGTCATCTTAATTCTATCTTCCAACAGTTCAATCAAACCTAGCAAATCCCTTACCCTCCAGAAAAGTATGTGAAGGGCTTTTAATAATCTTGCTTTATGTGTATTTTTCTGGTGTCCTTGCTCGTTTGCTACTGTTTGGAGTGAAGCAGCTTCTCATTCATTTCTTTCTTTAAGCCTTACTTCCACTTTTAAATATTTATCTTATTGTGGCACCAGCAAGAGAATTTTCCTATTAAGCCCCCTTCGTTAAGTTTTGAAAACACCGATCACCTTGAAAAATATTTTGTAACCACCAGACTGGAACTTTGGCATCATAAATACCTAAAGATTGAATGTGAATGAACTAATTACAATAAATTATACTGGGCAAAGTCTAGCTCTGAATTCAGATTGTAGGGGTGACTTTGAGACCTATCAAACAGCATTAGCACACAAGCTGATACTTCCTACTCCAAGGGAAGGGGAAAAACCTGATTTGAGAATAACGCTATAGTTTGATGGCCAGAAGGAGAGCTAATCAAAGACTTGCAGAATGAAGAACTTCTTTATTTTCTTTTTAAATGCATCCTTTACCCTTTCATTTCAACGTTTTAAAATGTTCCATTCTGGGGGAAGGGGGGAAACTACAAAAACTTCAAATAAACTTCTTTGATGTTTTCCTAATGTTCTACATGTTATTTCCCATAATGAGGTGTGTTTAGCTTCTTTCCTACCATACTGCCAATTTTTGATGAGTTTGCAAACAAAAGTGTTCTGACTTGTTGAAGTGTTCACGACTATGTCTTTCTGTTTATTACCCTACCAAGTTCCACTGGTGCTGGGATATGCCTGCACTGGGCTTATTCACAGAGTTTGTTCACATTATGTTTGGCCATGCCCAATGACACAGGACTCAAACTGAAAAAAATACCGATTAAAATTAAAAAAAAAAAAAAAACTTAGCAAAAATGTTGCCAGGAACTCTGCCTGATCAGGCACAAAATGATTTTTCATTTGCTTTCACCTTCATTCAACAGCTTCTGTAATATAACCAAGCAATTAAAAAATATATAACTATGCCCACAATTGGAACGACCCGGCAGCTGATCATTACCATCTGGGATTCTTCCATTTATGCTTCAGAGCTTGCCAGGGCTACCTACCAACTCTCAATATCCCTTCTTCTCCAAACCACTTCCCATCTTATTCACAACTGGCATGACTCCTACTTCTACTGCCACAAAGGGCCCTAATCCTGCACAAGCCCTTGGCCGCCACATATTGCTGAGACCCAGCAGGGACAGGATTAAAGATACTAGTACAACTCTTGATTGAAGAGTCCATCCTTGTTTCATGACCCTACAGCAATTGCTTGTTGTTCCCCAAATTTAACTCAAACTCAACTTGACAGCTAGGAGCTACACCCTTGGATACTAACTTGGAGACATTGCCAACAACTATTGTTTTCTTCACAAAGAGCCGCGACGTCTCCTCACTTGACAGACCAGCATTTCGCTGCCCTGCTTTCTGAGCGCTCAAAACACCGGAAGTGTCCTGAAGGAAAAATAAAAAAAATAAAAATTTACTTGGATGCTGATTTGGTTGGTGCTAGAAAGTAAGGTACTGTTTAAAACCCAGTCCATCCAATGAAAGACCAATCACAACATTCCCAGAACACAGACATTTAAATTATTAAATATACACATTTAAACAATTAATCTATAACAAACGCTGTAGGGCAATGCTTAGTTTGGGTTGTCTGCCAGGGAATGGAACTTGGGTGACAACTTTCAAAAGTGACTTATGATTTTAGGTGCCCCGTTTAAAAGAGACTTGATTTTCAGAAATCATTGTGTACATGCTGCCTGAAAACCAAGTCCCTAAAGAGCATCTGAAATTGTGCGCCCAAAATCATTAGCTGCCTTTGGGAGTTGGCCCTGTTTTCTTAAAGCCAAATTTTGCCCTCTGCTGCTCGCCACCTGTGACTTCAGTGGCAGCACCAGGCCTGTTTGGTGGCAGAATCTAGCTCCTACCCAGAGAGAATGAAGGACAACAAGATGCTGCCAACATCCAAAGTCAGTAAATCCATAACAATCACCTGGTATAATAAAAAACAATGTAAGTGACCCTGTAGCACAATCTCTCTGATTAAATGAAGGACCAGTCCACGTGGTGAAGTAATTATGTAATCTGGTACAAAACAAAGACGTGTCATTTGCAAGGACTACATATATTTTTCTGGGCTCTGACAGACTGAAATCATTGTCCTGAGACTACACCAGGACCTTCAGTAGCCTGAAAATACACTGGGTCAGCAATGAAAATGACATTTTTGTGTGCTGGTAGTTTATAGAACAACAGATCAGGTCCAGATTTGGATCCAGGGTCAGGCCAGAAAGCAACGGACACAATGCAAGCTCCTTCCTGCCACTCAGCAGTGCTCCAAGGCAGAATGAAGCCTCTCCTGATAGATTTTTCTACTCTACAAACTTTGCCAGGACACAACCACATCAGCCAGAGGCGTGATGAGAAATGATCCCAAGAGACACAGCTGTGCCAACTAAAGTCCCAGGGTTTTACCGGCGTAGCCAAGTCCATGCTAGAAACCCTCCCACAATGCAGCATGCCAGTAGAGAACTCCCAGTGAGGACACAGCCTTGGCAAGACACTCTAGTCTCCAATGTATGTTCCTGATCATCAGTGAAGTTGTATTACATGTCTGATGCAGAATTCTGGCTATTTCCATCAAATGTTACTGAACAGTTGCTAAGCTGCAGAACCAGTTGCCTACAATGGGTTCTTTGTAGGGCTGCTCGAAACAGCTGTGTTTTGATTTGGTTTCGGATTCGGTTGTTTCGGATCACTGTCCTGTTTCGTTTCAGCTGAATGTGTTTTGGAGATTCTGCTTTGCCGAATCTTCTCCAAATTGGTTTCAAATGGGTTCCAAGAGAAGCTTCGCACAGCCCTACCCAGCCAGGCAGGGGTTGGGGCTGGGGGCTGCAGGGCCCCAGTGGGGAGGACAATGGGGCCCATGGGTGGCTCATCCGGGGGAGGGCTGCTGCCCTCTGTACCGGCAAGGAGACCCCCACGTGGATCTCTCATCCCTGTCACGCCAGGTTGCGGGGCAGGGAAGCAGCACAGAGCGACAAGCAAGCTTACTGGTCCCTGCTGTCTGACTCAGCTCCACAGGGAGCAGAGATCCATGTCAGGGTCTCTTCATTGCTGCTGCCCGCCCCTGGATCTCTGTTGCCTGCGGAGCCACGTCGCATGGCAGGGACCAGCACTGCCCTGCCATGCAACCTGGCTCCACAGGGAGCAGAGATCTGCGCCTCGGTCTCCTTGCTGCCCTCCCTGTGCAGCTCCGCATCGCTGGGGCAGCACAGGGCAGGCAACGGTGGCAAGGAGCCCCCCGGCATGGATCTCTGCTCCCTGCGAAGCTGAGCTGTATGGCAGGGCAGCAGTGTACAGCTGTTTCCCTGCATGCCTGGCTCCAAAACTCCAAAATTTTCCAAAACATTTAGGATGCCTTGTTTCATTTTGGAGATGTTTCTGAACCTTCCATTTCAATTCAAATTCAGTGTTTCGGGTGTCAAAACGGCCCGAAACACCTCCGAAATGCAACAGCTACTGAAACTTCGCACAGCCCTAGTCCTTTCCCTCCTGACAGATTAAAGAGGTTTTACTGCAACAGTAACAACTGATGATACTCCTATTTCCCTGTGGTACATGGGCAGTTTTTTTTATTAGTGTTTTCTAGAAGATCAAAGCAATTTTCTATTAGACATGGCTTTGTCAAAGTAGTACTCAGCAATGGTTAGGACTGAAGTCTTTACTCCTAGGCCCTGTAGGTAGCATTCTCAGCTGGGCAAATGGCTCACTAAGGGGCTTTAAATAAGAATGCCTTTGTGTAAAGGGAGTTCAGTATTAAGTGCTGCCTGCCTCACAGACTCGCTGTAAGGCCTGGTTCATATGTTTGTAAAAGAGATGCGTGTTCCTAAAATAATGAGCACCACTGACTCTTCATGAATACAAGCCTGGGAACCTGAAAGGGAATGGATTACTTTCTTTGGAACAAGTGAAGAGAGTAAGTTCTACCCTGCAGACAGAGGAAAAATCTACCATGTGAAACTGCTTATGACTTTCCTGTGGGTCCAGTTAGGCACAGACAAGAGGGAAGGAGGACTGCTAAGTAGGGCTGTTTACAATAAAGAAGCTATTTTTCTGGAGGAGAAAGGACTATTTATACTCTTGCTCAGAGAAGAGTGTATGTTAATTTTCAACCCTCTCTGTTCTGTACATCAGAGGTAAGGGAGCTAAAGACAGGGTACAAGTTTGTGTCTCTTATGAGAATGAGGGATTTCTATCGTCCTATTTCTGAGGGAAGAGGGGTTCGTATGTTTCAACATCCTCAGGATGATCTAACTAATGACAATAAACTTGCCAGTTGGCATGTTGTTCCTAGGGACAGTGAGCAGGCCAAGCCCAGATACAGCAATTGTGAAAACTTCACCTACTATAAGTAATGCAAATGCAACTTTTTGGGGATATAAAACCAGGCCACAGTACTAGTAACAGACCAATCCAAAATGGCAAGGTTCCCAGTGGGTCAGTAGAAAGCTACAAATTTAATGATTTCCCTAAAATTTTGCTGGGAACTACAAACTGCTACACAGGGCTTGTCTTTGCTTTCTTTGTTACAAATGAAGCATTAACTTTACCATGGTGTTGATTCTAACCAGTTAGCTGCTCCATCAGGGAGCACTAACAACACAATTACTATGTAGCTCCAGAATTTTCCAGTCTGACTACTCTGTTTTGAGAGACTACCTCCAGCGGCCTTAACTGGAGTGCAGAGAACTCAAGTTACTTCCATAGCAAAGACAGCTAGGACAAGATAGATAGCTGGGCAAGTCTGAAATACTGGCTGAAAGCAATGGAATGAGCTGCTAGTGGAAGGGCAGCTAGAAGTCTGGAGAGCTTGGTGAAGAAACACACATACCTCAGAGCCAAGAGAATTTCCACTGGTAGGTGGGTAAGAAGTCCTGTGATCACAAGAGCCTTCAACCTTTTCTCCCACCCTCTTTAAACATTGCCACCATTGCTCAAGCTTTATTTTACCCGTCCAGTGCCTCTATTTGGTCTCTGATCCAGGTTATTCGTCAATCGTTCTTCCACATCTAGATTGCCATTGTCTTTGTCCAGAAGGAAATCAGTGTGTTGAGATAGCGAGTCACTTTCTGAGTGATTGGCAGATGGAGTATCTGATCCCTGGTTAGCAGGAGAGGATGATCTGGATGGTGATTCCAAGAACTTCTTGATTGAAGGATGGTTAAAAACCATAGAGTCACATGTCTTGGTTCCCTGCAATAAAAGAGCCCAGGAAGATCTGTTAATTTTTCCAGAACAGAAAAAATTGGGTCTACCTATGCCAGAAAAGGAAGAGCAAAATATCAGTGCACAGAAATAAACAACTCAAGAGTAAAGCACGCCTCTCCAAAGATTGTTCTAGGGAGATGGGCCCAAAACATTGCCAATTCCAATGCTTCAGCCTCCCTGATCCTGGAAATCTATTTGACTTTGGAACTGAAGCCTGCAACATATGCAGATTACTTTGCAGGCTGCCGCTAAATGAAAAAACAAAAATGTTTCCTTTTGCTTGCAAGCACATACATTCTCACAGTATGAGCAAGAGCATCACACTGCATAAGTTGCCTGATTCTTGCTGATAGACAGGGAGTTTAAGTGCACTAGCTCAAGAGTCAGAAATGTTTTTGAGCCGAGTGCCAAAAACACCAGCAACCTCAACTGGTAAGATGTTGGCGTACCAGGGGCAGATGGCAGGGGAGGTGTGAGGTGCCTGATCCTTGTTGTGGCAGCTCAGCCCTGCCCCCTTCCCTGCCAATTGCCCAGAGATGTGCATGCCAAGCAAAATGTCTTCATGTGTCACACTCCGGCACCCATCCCAGGGGTTGCCTACCCCTGCACTAGCCTCTTAGTCGTGGTATTACGCTTGGGGCTTTATAAAGGCCTAAGAGACAAGCTGCATCCATCAGTGCCCTGCCTGTTCATAAAAATTAAGCAGAGGGTCAAGAATAATGTGATTACAAATGCCTGCAAGGCATACCAAACCTGATATACTACATCTAATCTTATGTCTTTCTTAACATAGGGCCTCTGTGGGTGACCTGTAAAAAATAAAAATAAAAAGCCAAAACATGGGACTTCCCATGCATAATGAGGCCTAAGAGGTCTGCTTGTTTTTAAACTTATAGATATCAACAAATATGCATATCTATGTATTTAAGTTTCACCAAAGAAGTTTCCTTAAGAAAGACAGGGAATGGATGCAACTTCTCTCGGCCTTGAACCGAAGAGGCTGGAGTTGGGGAGTTGGAATCTTTGGCCTGGGATTTCCAAAAGTGCTTCTGACAATTCCACTGCTGATAACAAACTTTCTTCCCAACAGTTTATGAGGCATTTGGATTTAAAACGCTGTTAAAATAAACAAACAATTAGTCTGTCAGGAATATTTTCCCCTTCCTTGATTCTGAGTTTTGGCTTCTTCAGTACTTTGCAATATAATAATCTTACTACGCTTTCAGAAATTATTCATGAAAAATAGGGTAGAAAAGATTTTAACCTCTACCGTAAACCCCCCCAAATACCCAAACAGAACTGATTTTAAATCCTTTGCACCAAAGGAGGAAAAAAATCTACATCCTGTTTTGTTTTCCTTTAACCCTGGAAAAGAACACTTTATTTCTAATGTGAATGGAAAAGGTAATAAATACTTTAATTTACTAGTACTGTATTAAGTTCATTTGCTAAGAAAAGTTGTTTGTTTTCATATTATAAATGTATTATAAATGTTAAGCACAGCTGCCTGGGAACTTGCAGGCATTTAAACTGCAAGAGTCGCTTTACTAGAAGTGAAAGTAAAACTCTGATAGGTAGCAATAAAACCAAATTAATATTAACTACATTTTAAAACAAGTGGCTCAATGGCAATGATCATAAAAATACAAGCAACTTAGCCAGCATGGGAATTAGACCCTTGGAGAGGGTGTCAAATAAAAATACACCTCGACTTTATTACCAGGAACAGACTCATAAAACCTAAAGGACAAAACCATTAGGGAAATGTCTGTACTTTTTTTTGCCAATTATGAGCAAGAATAATTTTTTAAAAGAATGTTGTACTTGTGATGTGTAAGAGTCTCAGCAAGCAAAAGCAAACTCTACATGATGAAGTGCAATGTACAAGCTCTTTGCTATTATGCCTTACTATGGTACAAGAGGGAGTGCTTAGAAAGATCAGAAGCCAGGTCAGTCGTCAAACACAGACAATCAAAAAACCCCCCCAGGGAAATAGATACACTCCTCCCTTTACCACCAAGCTCCTTCTTCATGCCAGTTCTTCAACATGCATTTGGGGAGGCAAGAAAGCAAGCTAAAGGTTTTTAAAAGCCTCTTGGAAATCACAAAAGAACAGCAGCGCAACAAAAGCAACCTCACTGGATCTAACCATGCATCTGGGAATCACAGAGGCAGGGCAAGGCCAGGGCTTTCACCTGACAGCCCTGCATTTTGTAGTATTATTTGAAACAGTAAGCAGATCTGAGACAAAAGTGTCCTAAAACCCCAAAACTGGTAACCTCAAGGTGAAATGCAAAGCAAAAGTGAATCTGCAGTTAATCCCAGGAATGTGGTCCAAACACTCTCACTGATTAGCCACAGGGACTTAGCATACAGTAGTAAGTATCAGTTTCTGATTTTTCCCCTTTTGAAGCCTCTGTGGTACTTCCTGGTTCACTGCAGACATTCTTTAAAGCCATGAATGCAGTGCAAATGAAAGGACAGTTTAGGGTTCAGGCACTGAGACAGAGAAGATATGCATTTTTCCTCCCAGTTCGACCACACACTTCCTCTGTAATTCAGGACATGTCACTAAATCTCTTTGTTGCCTGCATTCCTCCCCTGTAAAATGGAAGATAATGATACTACTCCAAAGAATGCCACAAGGACACATTTATTAACAGTTGTGACATGAGCTATGCTCACACACTGCTGGTGAACACTGCAGAAGTCAGTTACTTCAGGTAATATAATAAAAGGTAGCCACCCTAGGAGACCCTTTTAACTGTTTATAATTCGTCTGGGCCAAATGCCTCTGCAGCCTGGTCAGTAATAGCACATATATCTGTGTACAACTCAGTTTTCATTTTTCCATTGCAGTTCAGATTGCAAGCTTTCTACCCCTGTGTACTTCAAAAGCAAAACACAAAAACTGATCAACTGATGAATTTATGCTCTCTACCTTGGCAAATATTCTCAAGTCTCATTATTCCAAAGTAATTTTTACCTCTCCTGCTTTAAGAAGACCAGCAGATGCATAATAGTTAGCCACAATGCAGGCACGCAGCTTATCCATCATTCTTCTTGCCTCGATCAGGCGCTATAAAAAGAAAGATACTGTATTATAAAGTACAGCAACAGCAGCACTTTCCAATACTCCTTGATGCAAACAGATGTTAACTGCTTTTAAGAACATGACCTTTGTACCTGATCTATGACTTCAATTTCATGTTCCTTATTCTTCATTTCAACAGAAAACTGCTCTTTAATAATTGTCTCAATCTTCTGCACAGCAGCATCTCGAGCTGTTCAAAGACATACATGCAAATAAAAAGAGAAGGAAGGTTTCAGAGGCAAATAATTCTAAATGAAACAACTGGAGGAATATAAAAAGAAAGAAAAGTAAAATGCAGAGGTCCTGGACTGCCAAGAAGTTGGAAAGCCTCCGTGCCAATCTATTTTACTTCTTTTTGGCACCAAATCAAAATTTGCCTATAAAATGACAAAGCCTGTCAGCTGAGTTGTATAGAAGTTTTTTTGTTTGTTTTTTTAAAACATTGAGCCTGCAGACTCATCAGCAGAAGCAGGAAAGTGGTAGAAATACACGGGCTACTTTCTGTCATTTTTACCCAAAGCTATACAATACTGCAAAAAGAGCTGTGGCAAGAGAAGACTGCATCTTACAATACAAAGGAAAGTACATACATTTTTTCTATTCTCTTAGGCTGTCTATGCTTTAATGAGAATTACATCACACTAGTGTGGCATCTCATTAGTAAAGCACAGCCCTAAAGCAGATGTTGAGCTCTGTTACGAAGCTGGGTTTACAACAAGTTAAATACACTCGTATGAATTTCCTTAACATAGGTAGGACTATGTTTCTGGGGAATAATTTCATTCAAATTCTTGCAGGGAGCAACATAACAGTAGACAAGTATCAGGGTCCCTTCTCTGGCCTAAAAACCATACAACTTATAACATATCCACAACATGCCTTTTAAACCAAGTGAAAGTATCAAGAGGTCCCTTCACTCTCCTGAAATATAAAATAAAAGGCTTGTCACTGCTACCAGGAGATGAGAGAAAGGCTTAGATCTTTTTTTAAAGATAATCTCTTTTCACAGATATACCCAGAAGGATAGGCAACAGATTCAGAGTCTGTTTGGATCTAGCAAGATTAAATCTAGAATATCGTCATCCAATACAAAGCACCTTCCCGTATTCCCTTGAAGCATGGAATAAGCAAGGGTGGATTACTTTAAAGTGATTACTTTTAATCATGAATTAAACTATTGAGCAAGAATCTCAGATTTAAATAACCAATTTTAATCTTGTCTTGCAGTTAAGATTTTTAACTATTTTCTTAAAGAAAAATTGATTTGCACTGGTTGACCATTAACACCTGTTGATAAAATATAGTTATTAGACTAAAGTTAGACCTTATTTTTGCTAGTGGGAGGACACACTACACTACATCTGTGCACATTTGTTTAAATAGTTATAATTTAACATACATTTATTTAGATTTATAACCTTTACATTATATTAAAATATATCACTTGTCATTTTCTAATTCTTACTCAGTCCTCTCAAACTCTATCTGGATGGAAACTACAATTCAATTAAAATGCATAAAAACAGGATTTTAAAAACGTTATTCTCTAATTAAATGACCTTCAATGTGCTATATACATAAAAAAGAAAGGTAAGGTTATCTAAACAAATTTTGCTTAAAACTGATTTAGTGAACATTAGAGGTGCACCGATACATTGGTTGTCTATCAGATCAGCACTGATAAAAGGGAAATTTACATTATTGGCTATTGGCTTTTTTTTGACTGTTGTCACCAATAATGTTCTTCGATAATTATGCCTTCTGGCTGGGGCCCAGGGATGCCCGGGTTCCCTCTCACCGGCCAGGCCAGGCCAGGGTCCTTACTCTGGCAGGGAACCGGGCCCAGAGACCACCCAGCCCTGGGCAGCCTCAGGCTCAGGCACCTGCCCCCAGGCTGGGGTAGAAGGGCAGGGGCTGCAACTGGCATGGGCATGTTTATATGTGCTCCAGGAGTGAGTGTGAGTGTGGTGACACTTTAACTAAAACAGCTCCAAAAGCAACTCTAGTTAAAGTGCCTCCATGTCTCCTGTATCAGCATCCCTACTTAGAAGTGGGGGGGGGGGTGGGGGTGCTTCACCTGAAGCTTGTTTGATGAGCTTTAGTTTAAGCACCCCCACCACAATTTTTAAGCGCAGGGACTCTGATGCACAAAACACTGAAGTCTGCTGGAGCACAGTAATTCACACTCCAGCAGACTTGATTAATGTAGTCTGCTTGACATGCTGTAACTCCAGTGCATCAAAGCAGCCTTGCTGCTCATGTATATTAGGCACCTCTGAGGCACTGTATCCAGAACAGTGGGGCCAGGTGCAGGTGAGGTGGCAGAGGGCCTACAGCAAACAGATTTATGCTACCCTGTGTTGCACCATGTGACAGGGTGGGTTCGATTTAAATCAAATCAATTTCAATCACAATTCAAAACACTGGTCAGGAAGCCTTGATTTAATCACTGTTTTCAACAAAAAGCACTTTCTTTTTGTTTGGTATTCTCTATTCATTTAACTTCTTGAAACTTTACATTTTTAGAGAGAGGGAAGGGCTTGCCTGTGCATACACAAAATTGCAGAGACAATAGGGCTGATGGGTGGTTAATCAGATCCATTATCTCTCATCTCCATATACTGCTGTTAACAAGGATTTTATCTCTGGAGACACAAATCCAGTTTGAGAACTGAAACTAAACATCACAGAGATGCGTAATGGGATCTTCTAGACCAGGGGTGGGCAAAATACAGCCCACAGGCCAGATGAGGCCCGCGAGGCCATTCTATCCGGCCCGCAGGGCCCCTAAAAAAATTTAGAAAATGAATATTGATCTGTCCTTGGTTCCTGTCAAAAATGACAGGAGCCAGGGGCAGCATGACCCAGGGGAAGCCCAGCGGGCTCTCACAGCAGGGCCCGCCCAGCCCAGTAGGGGCTTAAGGCCTGGGACTATGTGACTGCCCCAGGCCAGAAACTCAGGTAAGGGGAAGAGGCGGGGGGAAGGGTGGGGGAGGACCCTGAGGAAAGGCTGAGCCCAGTGAAAAGCGATCCCTCGCCTGCCCCATGGCCGGCACTCCCTGCTGCAGCTGCTTACAGCCCGCGCGGGGCTGTCCTGAGCAGGCACAGGCTGCTGCAGACAGGCTGTGAGTGGCTGCAGTGTGGGTCACCGGGTGGGGGAGGAGCCACTTTTCCCCGTGCTCAGCACCAGCTTGTAACTTGCCCCTGCTGCCAGTCTGGGCCCTGCGCCGGTTCCAGGCTCGCCCACCAGGGCTAACCTGTGGCGGCAGCAGCAGCTGTTACCCCCTGGTCTGCCATGCACAGAGGCAGCGGTGGCAAACGTTGCCTGGCGTGGCAAGCGGGGGGCGGGGCGGGCGGCCGCAGCTGCTGCCATGGTACGCAGCCCTGACAGGGAACCCGAAACCAGTGGGCCCCAGGCCGGGTTACAAGCTGGTGCTAAGCACAGGGAAAAGCAGCCCCTTGTCCACCCCATGCCTGAAGCCCTGCGCTGCAGCCTCTCACAGCCCACGTGGGCCTACCTGTGCCTGCTCAGGACAGCCCCACGTAGGCTGCGAGCGGCTGCAGCAGGGAGCACTAACCACGGGGTGGGCAAGGGGCCGCTTTTCCCGGAGCTCAGCACCAGCTCCTTCCCTGCCAGTGAGCACAGGGTCAGGGCTGCACACTGCCCCCCCACCTGTACCGTGGGGCTGGGGGCACACTGGGAGTAAGCAGGTGCACAGGGCCCACACTGGCGTCCCAGGGCCAGCGCCAGTGGGGCCCAGAGCAGGGAAGCAGGGGTACAGGGTCCCAGCCAGCGGAGGCTCTATGGAGCCAGGCCAGCTCCCCGCTCTCCCTGCTGGTGCAGCCCATCCCAGCTCCACAGACCCCTCTCAAACTGTGCCCCGCTCTGGGCTCCACCAGTGCTAGCCCTGGAACATTGGTCCCAAGATGGTGACCACACCCCTTGACAGTCGCACCTGTCAAGGGGTGTGGCTACCCATGCAGCCCTTGACAGCTTGTCAAAACTGGGTAAGTGGCCTTCCACCAGAAATAATTGCCCGCCCCCGTTCTAGATTGAGTTCCACTGGGTAGAGTGTTTTTCTTTAATCTTTACCAGTCTGTACAGGAGCCCCTGGGAACCCCATAAGATTGGGCCCCTAATATAGTCCATGGCCAGATATGACTGGTTTATAAAATTTTTCTAAAAAGATTCCATGAATATATGGTCTCACATAGTATATAATTAGAAGTTATAATCCCCATTCTATGATGATATCTTTGAGTTTTAGCATATGTTAAGTTAAAACTACCTTTATTTAGGTTTATTTTTTAAAAAGCTCTTAACAAAAAATACAATTAAATAAAAAAATCTGATTTAAATTTAAAAAATCCAATTTTTATTTTATTTTTTTAAATTCTGATATTTATCCACCCTGCTGCACGATCCCTATCAGCTGTAAATATGTCCCAAAGAAGCACAATATGAAATTCTTTTCAAGTGTCTGGAAAAAACAACAGAATAGCTGATTGCAAAGTATGTGCTGCAAATATTGTGTGTGGAGGCAACACTAGTAAATATTTCAACACAACGAACTTAATACAGCACCTCAAGACGTGCCATGCTACTGAATACAATGATTTCCTAAAGATGACTACAGAGAAGAACGAAACAGGGCAGGAAAAACCTGTGCCAAAGCAACTATCATTATGTGAAGTGGGGGTGCACTGATCAAGACTTTCTTGGTGAATACCAATGGCTGATTATTAACCAGCCATATCAGCCAATACCAATCTGATTGCCGACATGCAGCCCAGAAGCTTGGAGAGCAGCGTCCGGCCTCTAAGTATGGTGGGGGGCAGGGAAGGGTCATGGAGGAGGGCAGATCAAGACCACCCCCACGGTGAGGGAGGAGTGGGGCGATTGGATAAAAAAATCGTTAGGCACTTCAAACACTCTCTGTTGGCCTAGTCTCATCTTCAAGGGGTGCATACTGAGCTCTGAATACTTTCCAAGAGGTTACAGCAGGATGTATAGACAAGGTAGAACAGTACTTACTACAATGCTACAAAACCGTTTGGAGCAGAAACGTGTGGAGTGCATACAGCTGACTATGACATCCCTGCAACTCTCACTGTACATCAGTGGGGGGCTGATGGAAAAAGTAGTGATAGTCATAGCACCTTTTGAAGAACTAGCACATGAATTGAGTTCATCCTCAGCCTCTGCTTCTGATGTCATCCCATCCATTGTGGCTTTAAAAAGGCTTTTGAGCAAAGTTACAGATTTAGATCACAGAATTAAAACTATGAAAGTTACTTTCCTGGAAGCTGTGAAAACATGCTTTGCTGAAACTGAATCAGAACCTCTCTATGGCACTGCAATGCTACTGGACCCAAGATACAAGGACAGATACTTTACTGATAATCAGAGGCGACGTGTAGGCGGGTCATGCAGGTGCGTGTGCACCCTGAGCGTGGTGGTGCACCCCTTATAAAAGGTGCCACTGACACTGTAGGCAGCGTCTGCAGGTGGTTTGCCACTTGCCACCCTGCCGCTGACACTGTGCGCAGTGGCGGCACCGAGTGTGTAGATGGCAGCAGGGGTAGCTGCCGTTTGCAAGCTCCCTGCACCACTGCACGCCGGGTTGGGGGGGGGTGCGGGGGGTGCTGTCAGCTGGCTGCACACAAAGCTGGTGGCGTGGAGAAGCGGTGATACTTGGGTGCAGGAAAGTGGTGCCTGGTGGTGACACAGAGTGTATAGATGGTGGTGGCAGCCACGTGCAAGCACCCTGTGCTGCTGGCTCTGCGTCTGGCTGGCTGTCAGCACCACCACTGCTGCCCCCGCCTGCATCTGGAAGGGGTACCCACCAGAAGGGGTAACCTGCTTTAAAAAGTTTGAAAACCCCTGCCATATTGTATCAGCACTGAAATATGGAAAATCGACAGTATGAGCAATCAGGTTTTTTCGGCTGATGTGGCTGATAATGTCACTGATAAATGTCCCCGTGCATGTGTGCAGCCACAGTACAGCATGCAGGTGGCCAGGAGCACAGCTCAGCAGCATCCAGCTCGTAAGTCTGTTGTGGGGGAAGGGACAGGGGTGGGAAAGGGAACAGGCGTGGGGTGGGGGAAGATGGAGGCCCCCGTGGTGAGGGAAGGAGTGGGGCTCAGTCTGCCCAGTTGGATGGGGCATGGGACAGAGCTGCAAGCTGATCATCTGGGGGGCGCAAGGAGGGGGGCTGGCTCCCACTGCTG